GGCAGGGCCCCAGGCCCTGGCCCTGGAATGTGAGGGAGCTTCAGTTTTTAGCTGGAGTTTTAAAAATGACCACTTGTGCAGAGGACCAGGGAGCCTGTCCCAGACTCTGGGCCCAGTTGAAGCCGTCACCCTCTGGCTGGTTAAGTCTGAGGTCAGGCAGAGCTGTCAAGGCTGACGACCTACAGATCCTGGAGCTCTGGCTCCCCGAGTGTCTTCAGGGCCTGCATTTGAGGCATCTTGGCCCCTGGCCTCAGGGTCCAGGCTGTGGGGTTATCTGTGTGCTTGTTTCTCCTGCAGCCTCCCTGGTTGATTGCTTGGTCTCTGCTTCTCTCTCTCTCTCTCTGCCTCCACCTCTCCTGGGCTCCCTCACCACCCTCACCCCCACCCCTACCCCCGGATGCGGGTACCCCATCCACCCCACACCCCTCCAGTGAGCAGGTACATCCAGAAGCTGCGACACCAGCTGGGCCGCGACTCCAAGTTCATCCTGTGCTACTCGCAGAAGGAGGAGGTGTTGCTGGAGGAGGTGTACACGGACACCATCATGGAGCTGGTCAGCTTCAGCAACGAGAGCCTGGGCAGCCCGGGCAGCCTGGCCCGCCTCCTGGACCACTCCACGGGCGTCCTCAACGAGCAGGGCGAGACCATCTTCGTCTCGGGCGACGCGGGCGTGGGCAAGTCCATGCTGCTGCAGCGGCTGCAGAGCCTCTGGGCCGCCGGCCAGCTGGACGCGCGGCTCAAGTTCTCCTTCCACTTCCGCTGCCGCATGTTCAGCTGCTTCAAGGAGGGCGCCATGCTGAGTCTGCAGGACCTGCTCTTCAAGCACTGCTGCTACCCGGAGCAGGACCCCGAGGAGGTGTTCGCCTTCCTGGTGCGCTTCCCCCACACCGCCCTCTTCACCTTCGACGGCCTGGACGAGCTCCACTCGGACTTCGACCTGAGCCGCGTGCCCGACACCTCGTCGCCCTGGGAGCCGGCCCACCCTCTGGTCCTGCTGGCCAACCTGCTCAGTGGGGTGCTTCTCAAAGGGGCCACCAAGCTGCTCACGGCCCGCACGGGCATCGAGATCCCGCGCCAGCTCCTTCGGAAGAAGGTGCTCCTGCGGGGCTTCTCCCGCAGCCACCTGCGGGCCTACGCCAGGAGGATGTTCCCCGACCGGGCCACACGGGACCGCCTGCTGGACCAGCTGGAGGCCAACCCCAACCTCTGCAGCCTGTGCGCCGTGCCCCTCTTCTGCTGGATCATCTTCCGCTGCTTCCAGCATTTCCACGGCGCCTTCGACAGCTCCCCAGAGCTGCCCGACTGCACGGTGACCCTGACCGACGTGTTCCTGCTGGTCACCGAGGTCCACCTGAACAGGACGCAGCCCACCAGCCTGGTGCAGAGGAACACGCAGAGCCAGACGGAGGCCCTCCGTGGCGGCCTGGCCACCCTGCGTGCGCTGGGGCAGCTGGCCCGCTGGGGCATGGAGAGGGAGCTGTTTGTTTTCAGCCAGGAGGAGGTCCAGGCCGCCGCCATGCAGGAGGCTGACCTGCAGCTGGGCTTCCTGCGGGCCGTGCCCGAGCCGGGCCTCGGAGAGGACCAGCTGTCCTATGAGTTTTTCCACACCACCCTCCAGGCCTTCTTCACCGCCTTCTCCCTCGTGGTGGACGCCAAGGTGGGCACGCGGGCGCTGCTCCGGTTCTTCCAGGAGTGGGTGCCTCCGGAGGAGGCAGCAGTGGCGGCCTGCTCGGCCCCCTTCTTCCCCTTCCCATGCCTGGGGGCCCGCAACCCGGCGGGGGACAACCCCTTCAGGAACAAGGACCACATTCAGTTCACCAACCTCTTCCTGTGCGGGCTGTTGTCCAAAGCCAAACAGAAACTCCTGCGACACCTGGTGCCGGCCGCGGCCCTGAGGAGAAAGCGCAAGGCCCTGTGGGCGCACCTGTTCGCCAGCCTGCGGACCTACCTGAAGAACCTGCCCCGCACTCGGTCTGGGGGCTTCAACCAGGTGCAGGCCATGCCCACCTTCATCTGGATGCTGCGCTGCATCTACGAGACGCAGAGCGAGAAGGTGGGGCAGCTGGCGGCCAAGGGCATCTGCGCCAACTACCTCAAGCTGACCTACTGCAATGCCTACTCGGCCGACTGCAGCGCCCTCTCCTTCGTCCTGCACCACTTCCGCAAGCGGCTGGCCCTCGATCTGGACAACAACAATCTCAACGACTACGGCGTGCGGGAGCTGAAGCCCTGCTTCAGCTGCCTCACGGTCATCAGGTGAGGCCGCCGGGCACCGGGAGCACTGGCGGGCCGGGGTGGGGCGGGCCAGGCGACACCAGGACTAATGTCATGGAGTGGGGTCTCCTGGATTACCCTGCCAATCACGACCACCGGTCTTGGAACTTCCAGACCTTCTCTATCTCAGGTGGCTGAGAGCAAGGAACAAAGCTTTTATTTATTTATTTACTTATTTATTTATTTATTTATTATTATTATTAAATTGATTGGGGTGACTTTGGTTAAGGAACAAAGCTTTGAAGTTAGGCAGACCCGCATCGGCTGGGTGTCCTTGAACAAGTTGCTTAATCTCTCTGAGCCTCAGTGTCCTCATCTGGAAAAGGAGATGCTCGTATCCTAGCAACTGCAGTACAGTTGACCCTTGAACAACGCAGGGGTTAGGGATGCTGACCCCCTGCAGCCAAAAATCCACATAATGTAACTTTTGACTCCCCAAACACTTAACTACTAATAGCCTGGCAGCCTCACCGAGAACATAAACAATTGATCAATACAGCATGTGGCAGAAGTAGGTTTACAGTAGTGCATATGCGAAACACAGTTTATAATTGTATTGTTATTAATTATTGTATTATTTTCCATATGAACAATGGTAAATCTACTTTTGCTCACCCCTGTACATATTATGTATGTTACATGTATTAGACACTGTATACTTAAAGTAAGCTAGAGAAACAAAAATGTTATTAAAGTCATAAGAGAAAATACATGTATTTTATGCATTCATGATATATCTTTCTCTTAATTTTTTCAATATTTCTAGGCTATAACGTTTGTGAGTTTTTCAAATTTTTGTAAATGCCCCCAATTTTTTCAATATGTTTATTGAAAACAATCCACATATAAGTGGACCTGCACAGTTCAAACCCATGTTGTTCAAAGGTCAACTGTAAGATCAATCAAACATTTATTGAGTAGATGAAGTCATTACAAATGTTACTTAATTTAATCCTCTTAACACACCCCAATAAATTCAAAAACAATAAACAAATAAAATACATTTAATTTTTTAAAAAAATCCAAAACACAATTTTGTAAGGTAGATACTGTTATTGTCTTTATTTTGGCAAAGGAGGAGGTAGAGGCACAGAGAAATTAGTAAGTTGCTCAAGGTCACACAGCTGGGCCATGGTGGAGCCAGAATAAAAAAGAACCTGCCCTTTAAGATTTATGTGAGGCTCCAAGATAGCCCATGTTTTTGATTGCAGAAAAGGCAGACTTTCTGTCAGTTAGCATTAGTTGCTTCCCATGATCAAAGCCAGCAGCCCTGAGCTTCCAGGGATCTCAGTAAAAAACAATGACTCTTTTTTTTTTTTTTTATTAAATCTTTATTGTTCAGGTTACATTTGTTCCTCTTTTTTCCCCCCCATAACTCCCCTCCTCCCAGTTCCCGCCCCACCCTCCGCCCTCACTCCCCATCCACTGTCCTCATCCATAGGTGCACGATTTTTGTCCAGTTTCTTCCCGCATCTCCCATTCCCCTTTCCCCCCCAAGAATAGTCAGTCCATTCCCTTTCTATGTCCCTGATTCATTATAATCACCAGTTCATTCTGTACATCAGATTATTTATTCACTTGGTTCTTAGATTCACTTGTTGATAGATGCATGTTTGTTGTTCACAATTTGTATCTTTACCTTTTTCTTCTTCCTCTTCTTAAAGGATACCTTTCAGCATTTCGTATAATACTGGTTTAGTGGTGATGAACTCCTTTAGCTTTTCCTTATCTGTGAAGCTCTTTATCTGACCTTCAATTCTGAATGATAGCTTTGCTGGATAAAGTAATCTTGGTTGTAGGTTCTTGGTATTCAGCACTTTGAATATTTCTTGCCATTCCCTTCTGGCCTGCAAAGTTTCTGTTGAGAAATCAGCTGACAGTCGTATGGGTATTCCCTTGTAGGTAATTGAGTCTCTTTCTCTTGCTGCTTTTAAGATTCTCTCTTTGTCTTTTGCTCTTGGCATTTTAATTATGATGTGTCTTGGTGTGGTCCTCTTTGGATTCCTTTTGTTTGGGGTTCTCTGCGCTTCTTGGACCTGTAAGTCCATTTCTTTCACCAGGTGGGGGAAGTTTTCTGCCATTATTTCTTCAAATAGGTTTTCAATATCTTGCTGTCTCTCATCTTCTGGCACCCCAATTATTCTGATGTTTGTACGCTTGAAGCTGTCCCAGAGGCTCCTTACACTATCTTCGTATTTTCGGATTCTTTTTTCATTTTGCTTTTCCGGTTGGGTGTTTTTTGCTTCTTCGCATTTCAAATCTTTGGCTTGATTCTTGTGCTCCTCTGGTCTGCTATTGGGTGTCTGTATAATATTCTTTATTTCAGTCCGTGTATGCTTAATTTCTAGTTGGTTCTTTATCATAGCATCGAGGGTCTCATTAGTTTTCGTGACTCTCTCCTCAAGTTTATTGACAGCTTCTAGCACATTTTTGCAAGCCCTCAAAATTGCGATTTTTAGCTCTATATCCTCCATTTCTGTCATGTTTTTTTGTCTCCGCATTTTTTATGCTTTCTTGGTGCACCCTCTAGTGGTCTTTGTGCGCAGTCTTGTTCTAGTTGAGCCTTGATTGTTGTAGTTAATACTAGAGGGATTTGACCACCAGGCCGACTGGCTGTGTGAATCAGCTGTGTCTGCCGCGGAAAACTTCTGTCCTCTGGGGAGGTGCTAATCTAGCCTTTGCCTGAGGCGATCCGGCAAATGGCTCTGCGCAGGGCTTGGGCGGGGCGGGCTCAACAGGGCGGGCGGAGGGAGCCGTTATGGTGCCCTCAGTCCTGTTCCCAGAGGCTCTGCTTCTCAGAACCCCCGGAACCGCTGCAAACCTCGGAGGGAAAGCTGCCTTCCAACTGATGCCAGACACTCCCGCTTCTCCCGTTTGGGTCCGAGTCCCCAGCGATTCGCCCGTATCTGGAGCTCAGAGTCTGAGACTCCCCCCTGACCGAAAACGACAACCGCGCTCTCAGCCACCAGCCCGCTTTGCGCGCGCACCTCCGCACCTGAGTATTTTCCACACTGCGCCTCCTCTGAGCCTCGGTGTGCTGTTATTTTTCCTTCTAGTTGAAGAGTCTCTCCTCAGCCAGCCTTCCTGTGGTTCTGGGTGATGTCCGTTCTGTCTTTTAGTTGTATTTTTGAAGTGGTTGTTTGCGGCAGCAGTCTCCGGTGTTTACCTATGCCGCCATCTTGGTCTCCAAAAACAATGACTCTTATTGTTGACTCTTGATTAGCTTCCTGTTTGATTAAAGACTAGAGGCCCAGTGCACGAATTTGTGCACAGGTGGGGTCCCTCGGCCTGGCCGGCTATCGGGGGATCGGGGCAGGCTGGCCAGGGGGAGGTTGGCTGTGGCAGCGCACTGACCACCAGAGGCCAGCTCCTGCATTGAGCGTCTGCCCCCTGGTGGTCGGTGCGCGTCATAGCGACCTGTCAACTGGTCGTTCAGTAATTTGGTCTCTTAGGCTTTTATATCTATAGAAAAGGGAGGCCAGCCTGCTTTCTTCTAATAGCACTTCCTGTATACACCTTGTAAATCTTTCCTGGGGACGGGGTAGTTCTCCTTTACTTGGCTCATGCATTTCTGGAGAGCCTAGGGGATTTGAATTGCTTCTGGGTGCCCGTTACACCAGTATCACAGTATAAACTGTGTGGGGACAGTGTGATATAGGGAGCCCAAAGCTGCCCGGGCCTGGGAATTGGGAGGCCTTGCGTCTTTTCTCTACGCTCAGCCAGCATCTCTCCATCCGCAGCCTCAGCCGTCTTACACTCAGTGCCACCCTGTGCTCCTCTCATCAGATGAAAACTCCACCAGTGAAGGGGGAGCAGGAGGAAATGGGTTACCCCAGGGAAGCATTTTGAGCTGCCTGAGGGCATCAGTTAGGATTAATTTATGCTGAGAGGAAAACTCAAAATAGTGGTGGTTTAAATAATTTACAAGCTTACTTGTCTCTCATGCAAAAGTCTAGCAGAGGGCAGTTCTGGGCTGCTTGGGAGCTTCCATGGCCTCAGGAGCCCAGGCTCTTCTGCCTGCTCCCCTGCCCCCTCACTACCTGACTTCCACCTCCTGGCCCAAGGTGGCTGCACAAGCTCCAGCCGTTCAGTCAACATCCTAGCCACCAGGAAGAAAGAAGGGCAAAGAAGGACACACCTCATTGTTTGAAGAAGTCTCCTCGGCTATTGCTAATGAGTCTTCTGCTTAGATTTCATTGGGCATAACTTGATCACATGTGCCTAGCTAAAAAAAAAGGGGGGGGAGTATGTTTCTAAGAAAGCATAGATATGGGATGGCAATGCATGTGGGTGCACACTGTGCCCCAGCACCAAGGTGGGTACCACCGGGGAGAGGCCCAGAGTGTCTGACCTGGTCATTTGGATGAGGCCTAAAAATCAAGCTTTTACCTCCTCAGCCTTTTACTTATTAAAAAGGTCAACTTGTGGCCCAGTGTGGCTTGTTTGTAGATGAAGTGTTATTGGAACACAGCCGCAACCATTTGTTTACATATTGGCTCCTTCTCACCAGGCTGCCCCCAAACGCAGGATATCAGAGGAGGCTGTCCGCACGTGGCCTTCATGTGTCCCCTCGCCAGTGGGCTGGCTCTGGGTGGGCCTGCTGGCCCCACGATGACCAGGCGCTTTGGGGGCTGTGTGGCTCACTGTTCCGGCCATTCTCTCGGGGCATTTACGGCTGGAAAAGGTCAGGACCTGGAGGCTTCTGCATCCCAGTGGAGTGAATGCTCCCTCCTAGTGAGCAGCTGCTCAGATGTATAACTTTCTCTGCTGTTTTGTTTCAGACTCAGCGTAAACCAGGTCACTGACAGTGGGGTCAAGGTGCTATATGAAGAGCTGACCAAGTACAAAATTCTGACGTATTTAGGGTACGTATGTCTCAAGAACCCTGGGCTGGCTACAGGGTTCTTGTAAAAATACAGAGCAGCAGGAGACTGCCATTCCCGTGAGTGATCAGATGGTTGGGACTGATGGCCAAGGGCACAGGAAGAGCACTGGACGGGGAACCAGGAGTCCGGGTTCTGCTTTGGATGCAGCCAGCAGCCCACTCTTGGAGCAAGTCGGGAAATCACGCTGGGCCTCAGCCTCCTCGCTGTATCATTGGGATCCTAATAATATAGGCACGTGGCTTTACGAGTGGTGGCCGGGGGATGCAATGAGAAGGTATCTAGGGCTTGTTTTCTAAACATTAGAATACTGTTTATTCATCAGGCTTCACTGCTCTGGGCCCATGATCCCATGTCTAGAACCCTGGAGGCAAGACAGAGGCCAGAATCCAATGCACATGCTGAGTAGTGGTGACATGGCCAGTGGGGTCTAGGGCGGGACCCCCTTTTTAAATCCTTTCATATTTCTGCAGCCAAGCGTATGACTATTCAAGCCAGTTGGATGCGGACTGTGAACATCTCCATATCAGTTGCCAAAGTAGTGACAAAAAACTGGGTTTTCAGAGTCTGGCATTTTGGAGTTGAGATAGGAGACTGTGGGCCCGCACAGCCGGCCCCACGGCCACTGTTGATGCCCATCAGTTCTTTGGGCCTCGGTTCCCTAAGCTGAGAAGCGAGGACATGGGAGCACAGACGCGCGGCTGCCCTTCAGCTCGGAGCTCTGTGCGTCCCGTACAGTTCCCACTTCCCACTTCTTGGGGCGACTTGTTGAATTGGTATCAAGTGGCAAAATGACGGAAAGGCAGACACCGAGGAGGTCCCAATACGCAGAAGCTTCCCCCGTCAAGATGCTTATCAGTATCTTCATTTAAAAATACCCGTCGCCTGTCACTTATTGAGCACTTATATGACGTGCGAGGGCTTGGAGTGATCTCACATAGTCCTCATGACAACCCTGTTGGGGAGCTATCATTCTCACCCCAGTATCACAGAGGGAGAAACTGAGGCACAGAGGCGTTGAGGAACTTGCCGCAGGTCATAAAGCTGGAGAGCGGCAGAGCGGCTCTGAACCCAGCCTGTGAGGCCCCAGAGCCCCAAACTCTGGTCCCCACGCGCCCTTTCTTTCTTCTTTCAACCCAGACGGCACATACTCAGCTTTTAAAACTGGGCTCATTAAGATGACATCGGGTCTCATCACGTTTTCTGACTGTGCTTTCTCTCGAAGCTTATACAACAACCAGATCACTGATGTCGGAGCCGGGTACATCGCCAGCATCCTGGATGAGTGCAAAGGCCTCACACACCTTAAGTAAGTGGGGCGGGTGTGGCAGGCTCTTTATTCAAACACATAAATGTCACCATGAAGACTCTCACCCCAAAGCCGCCTTCTGCTTCCCCGGGGGCCTTACTGGTGAATTAGGAGACCTGTGTGTGGCAGGTGAACGGTCCACATGCAGGATTTATCAACTGTGAGTGAGGCTCGGAGTTTGGAGGGACCTCCTACAATTGGTGGCTGGAAAGCTTGGCCTTTTAATTAATGACATTAATTAATAACAGGAAGAAAGGCCACAGCTATCACCATTTTTGAAGTTCCTTTTCCCCTTCGGGCTTTTTAATAAATATCTATATGTTTATATCTATCTATATATCTATATACCTATATGTATACATATCTAGATATGTTTAGGTAGATAGATAGATAGATATTAGTTGATTTCAGAGAGGAAGAGAGAGGGAGAAAGATGGAACCATCAATCATGAGAGAGAATCATTGATCGGCTGCCTCCTGCACGCCCCACACGGGGGATCGAGCCCACAACCCGGACATGTGCCCTGACCGGGAATCGAACCGTGACTTCCTGGTTGATACTCAACCACTGAGCCACACCAGCCTGGCCCTTCAGGCTTCTATTACAAAATACCATAAGCTAGGCTGCTTATAAACACCCAAAATTCATTTCTTACAGTTCTGGAGGCTGGGGAGTCCAAGACCAAAGTGGTGGCAGATTACGTGTCTGGTGAGGGCCCGATTCCTGGTCCATAGATGGGGCCTCGCTGTGTCCTCACCTGGTGGGAAAGGGGGAGAGGGGCCTCTTTTATAAGCCACTAACCCCAATCCTGAGGGCTCCATCCTCGTGACCTAAGCACCTCCCAAAGGCCCACCTCCGAATGCCATCACCCTGGGGGTTGGGATTTTGGAACATGACTTTTGGGAGGACACACACATTCAGACCATAGCACCTATCTAGCTGCCAGGAAGAGCTTGCCTTTCCCGGTGACAGAGCAGCAGGCTTGGAGGAGCCCTGGTGATGGGACACTCACCTTGACCATTTGTGGCTGAAGCCAGCACCTCCTTACTCTGCTGATGGAAATGAGTGACGCTCGGCGGTCATTTAAAGAACCCCGGGGACCGCTCCGGTCGCTGAGCTTCTGCAGATTGTTACCATCACCTGGAGCGGAATCCTGACTGGTCTCCTCCGGCCTTTGGGTCCTTCCGAGTGGGAGTGTGAGGCATAGCTGCTGTGGGTCCCAGAGAAAGGCCACACCCCAAGAGGGACCAGAGGGGCTCTGTGCTGGGGATGGAGGTGACTGAGTCCCCTCCCAGCAGGAGGCTGACACGGGCTCAACTCTCTCTGCAGACTGGGGAAAAACCAGATAACCAGCGAGGGAGGAAAGTGTCTCGCCCTGGCCGTGAAGAACAGCAAATCCATCTTTGAAATCGGGTGAGTAGAGACAACTGCACACGTGTGTGCGTAACCCAGCCTGGTCTGTCCGTGAGCACCTGCTGGTCTTCTTGTTCCTAATACACTGACAGGGCCGCTGGGCAAGCCTTGGGGAGGCACAGGAGCGTCACGGGGACCCTCAGGGGCCCCACTGGCTTCTGCCCGGGAAATGCTCTTTATCCTGACAGGTCCCTTTGACTCTGAAACCCCAAGCAGCTCATTACCGGGCTGATAGCTCACTACAGGCTGACAGCTCACTACGGGCTGATAGCTCACTACGGGCTGATAGCTCACTACAGGCTGATAGCTCACTACAGGCTGACAGCTCACTACAGGCTGACAGCTCACTACAGGCTGACAGCTCACTACAGGCTGATAGCTCACTATGGGGCTGACAGCTCACTACAGGATGACAGCTCACTAGGGGCTGACAGCTCACTAGGGGCTGGCGTAGGAATTGCCTCCAGGCCACAGCTCCAGGGATGGAGCAGCAACGCCCGCCTGCAAGTGGACAGCCTCGCTGTGGCCCCACCAGCAGGCCAGGGGTAGCAGGCGCTCCCTTTCACTGTCTTGCCTCTGCCCTCAGGATGTGGGGCAATCAAATCGGCGATGAAGGAGCAAAGGCCTTCGCAGAGGCTCTGAGGAACCACCCCAGCTTGACCAACCTGAGGTAACTGCTGTGTCTGACACTGTGGACTCCAGGGGCCAGCCTGTCACTCGTGTGTCCCTGGGGTCGCAGGGGAGGAGCCGAGGGAAGAGGGCGGCTGGCTTTCCTAATGAGAGAGGTATTTGTGTGTGTATGTGTGTGTGTGTGTGTGTGTGTTTCTTTTTAAACGCTTCTATGGACATATAGGAGACATCACATTAAATGAGTAAAGTCCACGACTCTGTGTTCAGCTCGGTGATTTGACACAGGCACCCACCCATATAACCACCCCCCAGGTCGAGACAGAGGACACTGCCAACCCCTCAGCCGTGTCTCCATGCCTCGTGGGGGTGGGAGGAATTCTTAAGTCCAGATACAACTGAGAGGGACACTGGGCAGCAGATTCCTGCCCCTTCCTCATTCTCAAGGCGGGTGCTGGGACAGAGGGGACCCTTTGTCCTTCTGGCCAAACCTCAGAGCCTCGGTGTACCCCGCTCGCTGCTGGTGTCCTTCCTGCCACGGGAGTGAATCTGAGACGGCAGGACAATGGCGGTCCCTGCTCTGGGAGGACAGGAGACTTCTCCAGCTCTCACGAGGATGTCAGCCCCTGAAGCAGAGCTGGCCAGGCCTCAGCCTCGGGTCTGCACGGTGACCCGGTCTCCCCCATGTCCAGTGTCCCCACCTGACCTCATGCTCTGAGCCTGTTCCCTGGAGCAGCAGCGCCTGGGTGGCAGCCGGCGAGGCTTCCTGCCTCCAGGCAGCCGGGCCACCAGCCAGAGTCTCCTGGCTGTTCTGGCTGCTGAAGCCAAAGCCTCGTGTAATAATCCTCCCCACGTGTCTTCCTGTCTAGTCTGGCTTCCAACGGCATTTCCACAGAAGGAGGAAAGAGCCTCGCGCAGGCCTTGCACTGGAACACGTCGCTGAGAATATTCTGGTAATTGCCGGAGTCCTTTCAAAAGGCGGGGAACCCCTTTAGAAACGTGTGCCGGAGAGGGCTCTCCGAGTAAACACCCCTTTCCTCCCCAGGCTCACCCAGAATGAACTCGACGACGAAGTGGCAGAGAGCATGGCAGAGATGTTGAAAGTCAACCAGACGCTGAAACATTTATGGTAACTCAGAACCCTGGAATTCCACACTGTGCTGCTTTTTAAAACGTTCGATTTAAACTGCATATGCCATACAGTTCACCCTTTTAATTCACCTCTGTAATATTTAGTGTATTCACAAGGTTGTGCAATCATCACTACTGTCTAATTCAGGGATGGCGAACCTATGACACGCGTGTCAGAGGTGACACGCGAACTCATTTTTTTTGGTTGATTATTCTTGGTTAAATGGCATTTAAATATATAAAATAAATATCAAAAATATAAGTCTTTGTTTTACTATGGTTACAAATATCAAAAAATTTCTATATGTGACATGGCACCAGAGTTAAGTTAGGGTTTTTCAAAATGCTGACACGCCGAGCTCAAAAGGTTCGCCATCACTGGTCTAATTCTAGGACAGTTTTACCTACGCACCCCCCAATACCTATATGCATTAGACACTCATTCTCCACGCCCGGCCCCCGCCCCCTTCCTACCCTCGCTGGTCCTGTAACCACTACTATACTTTGCCTATTCTGGGCATTTCATAGACATGGAACCACAGCATGTGGCCTTTTGTCTCTGTTCTTCCATAGTGTACGTTTTCAAGGTTCACCTACATTCTAGCACGTATCAATATTCATTGCTTTTTATGGAGGGGTGATATTCCACTGTATGGCTAGTCCACACTTTATATGTCCATTCGTGAGCTGGTGGACAGTTGGGTTGCTTCTCCTTTTTTACTATTATGAATAATGCTGCTGTGAACATTCATGTACATGCCTGTGTGTGATCACACATTTTCATTCCTCTTGGGTGTCTACTTAGCAAGGGAATTGCTGGGTCACGCGATCACAATTAACTTTTGAGGAATTGCCAAACTGCTTTCCAAAGCATTGCTCTACTTTGCATTCCCATCAGCAATGTAGGAGGGTTCCCCTTTCTCCAAATTCTCCCCAACCCTTGTCGTTGTCCCTCTTTCTGAATCTTGCCCTCCTCGTGGGTGTGAAGTGGTGTCTATTGTGGTTTTGATCTGCACTTCCTTGATGACTAACAGTGTTGGGTGTCTTTTCATGTTGCTGTTGGCCGTTGGTGTATCTTCTTTGGAGAAATGTCTCTACATCCTTTACCCATTTTTAAATTGGATTATTTGCCTTTTTATCACTGAGTTGTAAGAGTTCTTGATATATTCTGGGTACCAGACATTTATTAGGTACTAGAGGCCCGGTGCACGAAATTCATGCAAGGGGCTCGGCCCTCGCAGCCCCGGCTTCCTCCGGAAGGTCGTCCGGACGGTCGTTCCGCTATTCGGCCATCCAGTCTAATTAGCATATTATGCTTTTATTATTATAGATATGATTTACAAATATTTCCTCTCTGTGGGATTTCTCACTTTTTTATTTTGTTTTTAATGAAAGTTGTAGAGAAGGTTATTCCTGCATCATCTCAATAGTTTCTTCCTTGAGCCCGAGTTGGTGTTGCTCAGTGGATAGAGCATTGGCCTGTGGACTGAAAGGTATCAGGTTCGGTTCTAGTCAAGGGCACATGCCCAGGTTGTGGGCTCAATCCCCAGTGTGGAGTGTGCAAGGAGGCAGCCAATCAATGATTCTCTCTCATCATTGATGTTTCTCTCTCTCTCCCTCTCCCTTCCTCTCTGAAATTAGTAAAAATATGTTTAAAGCAAAATAGTTTCTTCCTTGTATTTGCCTTATTTCTTCCTACTTGGTGTGATTTGGCTTTTCGTTCGGGGACCTCTCTGTGGTCTCTGTCCAGCTTTAGTGGAGTGACAACCGCGTGCTGGGGATGCCCCTGTGAACAGGTGTACCGTGAGCTTTCTCCCGCCCACTCCTCCAGCGGAGACCACATATTTCTTCCTGGAAACCTGCACTTCCTGCCACTTTGTGGCCCTTCGCAGTGTCCTCACACACCTAAACTTCATCACCCTTTCGGACGGGCGTGGGTCGAACTCCACACCTCTCTCAGCTCCTTGGGAAGAGGATAATGCGAACGCGGGAAGGAGCATGGACACGCCCTGGACGGTTCTGGCTCCCGTCAGAAGTCACAGAGATTGAGCTTCATTTTGACCTCGGGCGGGCGCTTCTGCCATGGCCGCAAACGGGAAGAGACCCAGGGCTGCTTCTGGTTTTTCACTTTCCGGAGGGTGACCTGAAGCAGACGTTTTTAATTTTGAGGAAGTCCGGTGTGTCTGTTTTCCCCCTTGGCTGCTTGTGCCTTAGGTATCTTACTAAGGAACCGTTTTCTGGTCCCGGGTCCCAGGGATGTACCCCTAGCTTTTCCTTGAGGGTTGTAGTTTTGCTCTTTGATCCACGTGAAGCTAATTTTTGCGTACGGAACGAGGCGACAAGGTGTAGCTTCGTTCTCTTGCACGTGGTTGTCCCAGCACCACTGGCTGAAAGGATGATCTCCCCCTTTCCAATGGCCCTGGCACTTCTGCCAGAAATCAGTTGACCACAAATGTAGCGCTTCTTGGTTATTTCTGGGTGTTCTCTCTAGTCCACGGATGCACATGTTCATCCTGTGCCAGCAGCACTGTGCTGATTAGTGTCACTTTCTGGTAAGTTTTGAACTCGGGAATTGGGAGTTCTCTGGCTGTGTTCTTCGTCCTCAAGGTTGTCTTGGCCATTCTGGGTCCCTCGCATTTCCTTATGAACTTTAGATCGCCATGTCAGTGTCGGTAAAAACAGCCAGACTGTGCTTCGTGTACATAATTTTGTTGGATTGGTTGGTTTCCTTTCTTTTTCCTGGCCTGTAGATTGTCTCTTAAGCCCTTCCAGAGGCCAGGCCAGCCCCCAGCGGGAGCGAGCTGGCCAGGACTGGAGAGGGAGTCTGTGCTGCATTGAGCAAGCACAGCCCTAGGGCCCTGGTGAAGGCAGCCTGGAGGACGTGTGTGCCTGAGCACAGCCAGAGCACAGCTGGCCTCTTGCCAAGTCTGAGCTGGAAGCAGCTCACCCACCCCAGCAAGGCCAATTGTGGCTGCCATGAAGGAAGTCACTAGAACGCGGCAGAACTGAACTGAATGCTGTTGGACTGAACGCAGAACTCTGCACCCACTGCCAGGGGCTAGTGCTGCTCTTTTGGCAAAAATGTCAAGTTACATGTAGTCATGCTTATCAGGTCCTCACCTCTGCACGGGGCCCGGGGTCCCAGCCTTGGGAAGAGGTGGCTGGAACACTGGGTCCCAGCTGCAGGCTGCTGCCGCTGTCCTGTGTGCGTGGGCAGTGATGGCGACAAGGGCTCCCCTCCCCTTGGGCACCGTAGCATGGTTACGAGAACTGCTTCAGACACGTTGTCCCATTCAAACCTCACACACTGTGGGTAGGAGGTTCTCTTACAGTTACTCCCATTTTACAGATCAGGCAACTGAGGCACAGAGAGCCTGCTTATTTCTTCAAGGACCCATAGCTGGGAAGTGGGGAGTGTGTGTATGATCTGCTGCCTCTCTAAGGGGTTGGCCCCTTCACACTTAGGTAGGGCTGCCTGCTTGGGTCCAAGCCCCGGACGTCTCAGGGTCAGATTCCGCAGTAGCCTCGCTCTGCAGATAGCCAGGAGGGAGGGGCGGGCCTGTGATGAAGGCGGACACATCACTGCCTCGTGCTGCACCCATTTCCCAGTGGGGTGCGGAGGAGCTGCCCAGGGGAGCATTTCAGGGACTGCCGGGGCTTCCAGCGGTCTGCACCCTTTGCTCCCTTTGGATCGCTGCTGCCCGACGCAATGGGGCTGCTCCTCGAGGCCCCATTATCACTGCTTTCCCACTGGGGCCCCGAGCGGCATCAGGACTGTTGCTCCTCTCTCCCTCTCAGATGTCGGGGAGGGCATGGCCCCCTCTTAGAAGCCTTTGTTCCCCCCAAAGAAGAGAATGGCCAGCTGGTTGCTACTTAAACTTTAAAAACTGCCTTACCTTTCCCTCACCACCTGGAAGGAGACCTGGCTGCCTATTCTCTGGTGTGCGTCTTGGAATCTGTTGTGGTCTCCAAACATTTCCGATTGGGCTCCTCTGCAGGGAAATGTGCCAAGCACACATGCACATGTATGTTCACGCATTAAACTGTCTCTATTGGAACACAGATCTAGGATGCTCACTATAAAAACTGCAGAGAAATCAAGCATTTTAAAGGCTTTCCTTTATTCTGGTGGATTGGATGTCCATGATCTTAGCCAGATTAAAAGTCACGTGGATTCAGCTCTTCCCGACCCTGTCTCTTCCCCCACCAGCCTGTTACAGTTACCCCGATGAAGGGGGCAGGTTTGACCCGGCACTGTGTACCTGCTATAAACGACACATGTTCTTCTTTCAGGCTTATCCAGAACCAGATCACAGCCAAGGGGGTCGCCCAGCTGGCAGACGCCTTACAGAAGAACACTGGCATCATGGAGATTTGGTAAGACCCGCCCACCCCTTGTGGTGATGGCAGTGTGTACTCAGCACCAATGGCTATGTGCCAGGTACCCCGGAGGGCAATTCCATCTTCCCAGCCACCCTCACACCGTGATCCCTTCCCTAGAACCAGTCCCTTCCCGCGGGTTCTGTTGCTAGCAGTCACCACACTGCATTGCAACAGCTTCCTGTGTGGCCGTCTCCGCCAGACTGTGAGGTAGGGCCTGCGTCCTGGTCACCGCTGTGTCCCCAGGACTAGCGCTGCTCCTCATTCGTTTCTTGAATAACCAAGTGCTTGCGTGCCAGGCACTGAAAATCCAGTAGCAAATGAAATGGACCTGCTCTCATAGGTTTACCATCTAGTAAGGGTGACACAGTGAAAAAAAATCATTCAAACCCAGCCGGTGTGGCTCAGTGGTTGAGCAGCGACCCATGAACCAGGAGGTCCAGGTTGGATTCCCAGTCAGGGCACATGCCCAGGTTGAAGGCTTGATCCCCAGTAGGGGGTGTGCAGGAGGCAGCCGATCAATGACTCTCTCTCATCATTGATGTTTCTAGGTCTTCCTTCCTCTCTCTGAAATCAATGAAAACATTACAAATTAATTTTTAAAAAATCATTCAAGTGATTATTTAATTAAATCGTGGTTAGTGCTATAAAGGGGAAAGCTAGGGAGGGAACCTAACACAGGTGAGGTTCCAGGGATGGTCTCCTTCAGGAAGTGGCACGGAAACTACGCCGTGAAAGATGACTAGGAGTTAGTCCACGGAGGTGCGAGGGAAGGTGTCCCAGGCAGGCGGAACAGCATATGCAAAGGCTCGGAGGCAGGAAGGAGCGTGATGTCCAGGAGCTGTGTGTCTCGGGGCTCAGACAGTGTGGAAGAGGGTCCACAGGGGCGGAGGACGGAGAAACTAGACCACAAAAGATGTGTGTGTCCTGTGGCATAGGTGGGTGTTTGTCCTAAAAGCAATGGGAAGTCATTGAAGGTTTGAAGCAAAGGAGGGTGTGATTAGATTTGCATTTTACTCGTTTTCTTTTTCTCCAACAGCCTCAATGGGAACTTAATGAAGCCCGAGGAGACCAGAGGCTTTGAGGGTGAGAAGCGGCTTGTCCTTTCCTGAGAGGACGCCTTCCTGTCCGAGGCTCTAGCCCTGGGAGGGCGCTAGCAGCGGCAGCCACTCTGCGGTCACCTGTGTTAGGTGTCGTCTCGCAAGGGGACTGCCGGGAGCCCAGGGCCTTCACAGATGCTCTGATGGGCCAGCTCCCTGCACGGCTGGTGCAGTTTCACAGGGAAGCGTGGGCTTCGTGAGCCATGTTGGTTCCTGGATACATGCCATGGAGACGTTCCTGAGTGCCCACGATCCCTGTAACCTGCATCAAGAGGAATGACTGAGCTTGTACAACGCCTGCCTGGCGGCTGGGGGAGTGAGCGGTCACTGCTGTCCTCACTGAGCCGTCGAGGACGTGGTGCAGAGTTGGTGCCGAGTTTTTTGCAGAGAAGATGGTCCATGAACAAGAAGCGTTTTGCCTGAAATCTTCCTCCTCGGTACCTCCCCATGTGTTGCTGTCCTTCCCGCTTCACAGCTGTAGATACTGAGGGGTGTCCGTGTGGGGTGGTAGTGGGTGCCAAGGAAAAGACCCGGCACAGGCTTTTTCATCCTGGGGCCTCACTGCCAACCGAGACCACTGGCTGCGCTCTTAGCTAAGAGCAAGGGCGATGCCTTCATGACGCCGCGTTTCCACTCGGGGCTTTCCCACGCGAGGCTGACCTCCTCCGGAGACTAACACCTGGAAGAGCTGCTCTGCCCCAGGAAGACTGCCTGCCCCCAGAGGAAGAGGCGCGGCTTACCTTGTGGTCCTGGCACCCACTGAGCCTCCTCTCCCCTGCTCTCCTCAGGAGGTCTCCTGCCCGAGTAGCTGTGAGGGTGACGGAGTTGGAGCCAAGAGTCAGGCAGCTCCGAGGACCCGCTAGCATGTCAGACCCTGACCACAGTGACGGGCGCATGGTGGGTGCTAATGGGGGAGGGTGGCAATAGGACCAGACCTGCCCTTTTGCCAATCCATTTGTTTTTTTTTTTTTTTTTTTAGGACCAGACCCCTTTTGCCAATCCATTTTTTTTTTTTTTTTTTTTTTAATTAAATCTTTATTGTTCAGGTTACATTTGTTCCTCTTTTTTTCCCC